TCTCACATAGATGTAATCCTTATTTTATAATGAATAATACAAATCTTTCTAAATAAAAATAATTGAACTACTTTTTCTACCCCCCCCCCAATAGATGTAATCCTTATTTTATAATGAATAATACAAATCTTCCCCCCGCCCCCCACCCAACAGATGTGATCCTTATTTTATAATGAATAATACAAATCCTTCTAAATAAAAATAATTGAACTTTTTCTAATTATATTCTAAGCCCCCCCCTTCGCGGGCCCCAAAACACACAGATGTAATCCTTATTTTATAACGAATAACACCCTCTTTCACATAGATGTAATCCTTATTTTATAATGAATAAGATAAATCTTTCTAAATAAAAATAATTGAACTTTTTTTAATCTTTCTAAATAAAAATAATTGAACTTTTTCTAATTATATTCTAACTCCCCCCCTCACCGTCTTCCACCACCATAGCCGCCTTTCACCACCACCACCGCCATAACCGCCGCCGCCTTCCACCACCACCGCCAACGTCTTTCACTATCGCCACTACCTTTCACCACTACCACCGCCACCACTGCCTTCCACCACCACCACATTCACCTCCATTAGCTTTCACCACCGTAATGTACACCACTATCTCCTTCCACCAACATCATACTACTGTCACTGCCTTCCACCAACATCACTACTACCTTCCAACATTGCCGCCACCGTCATCGCTTTCCGACATCACCAACTACACCATTATCGCTTTCCATCTCCACCGCTGCCATCATTTATTTTAAAAAAAATTATAAAATAATGTCATTTTATTAATTTAAATAAAATTAATAAAATGTAATCCTTATTAATTCCATCCTCCCCCCTAAAAAAAAAAAAAAAAACACACACACACACACACAGATGTAATCCTTATTTTATAATTAATAACACCGTCTCTCACATAGATGTAATCCTTATTTTATAATGAATAATACAAATCTTTCTAAATAAAAATAATTGAACTTTTTCTACCCCCCCCCTCCCCCCCCCAATAGATGTAATCCTTATTTTATAATGAATAATACAAATCTTCCCCCCGCCCCCCACCCAACAGATGTGATCCTTATTTTATAATGAATAATTCAAATCCTTCTAAATAAAAATAATTGAACTTTTTCTAATTATATTCTAAGCCCCTCCTTTCGCGGGCCCCAAAACACACAGATGTAATCCTTATTTTATAACGAATAACACCCTCTTTCACATAGATGTAATCCTTATTTTATAATGAATAATACAAATCTTTCTAAATAAAAATAATTGAACTTTTTTTAATCTTTCTAAATAAAAATAATTGAACTTTTTCTAATTATATTCTAACTCCCCCCCCCCCCCCTCACCGTCTTCCACCACCATAGCCGCCTTTCACCACCACCACCGCCATAACCGCCACCGCCTTCCACCACCACCGCCAACGTCTTTCACTATCGCCACTACCTTTCACCACTACCACCGCCACCACTGCCTTCCACCACCACCACATTCACCTCCATTAGCTTTCACCACCGTAACGTACACCACTATCTCCTTCCACCAACATCATACTACTGTCACTGCCTTCCACCAACATCACTACTACCTTCCATCATTGCCGCCACCGTCGTCGCTTTCCGACATCACCAACTACACCATTATCGCTTTCCATCTCCACCGCTGCCATCATTTATTTTAAAAAAATTATAAAATAATGTCATTTTATTAATTTAAATAAAATTAATAAAATGTAATCCTTATTAATTCCATTCTCCCCCCCCCCCCAAAAAAAAAAAAAAAAAAACACACACACAGATGTAATCCTTATTTTATAATGAATAACACCGTCTCTCACATAGATATAATCCTTATTTTATAATGAATAATACAAATAAATAAAAATAATTGAACTTTTTCTAATTATATTCTAAGCACCCCCCCCCCAACAGATGTAATCCCCCCCAACCCAAACAGATGTAATCCTTATTTTATAATGAATAATACAAATCTTTTTAAATAAAAATAATTAAACTTTTTCTAATTATATTCTAAGGCCCCCCAATAGATGTAATCCCCCCCCCCATCCCCCAACCCAAACAGATGTAATCCTTATTTTATAATGAATAATACAAATCTTTAAACTTTTTCTAATTATATTCTAAGGCCCCCTTCGCGGGACCCAAAACACACCGCTGTAATCTTTATTTTATAACGAATAACACTCTCTTTCACACAAATGTAATCCTTATTTTATAACGAATAATACAAATCTTTCTAAATAAAAATAATTGAACTTTTTCTAATCTTTTTAAATAAAAATAATTGAACTTTTTCTAATTATATTCTAACTGCCCCATCCCCCCCCACCCCAAACACACAGATGTAATCCTTATTTAATAACGAATAACACACTAGCTCACGTAGATGTAAACCTTATTTTATAATGAATAATATAATGAATAATACAAATCTTTCTGAATAAAAATAATTGAACTTTTTCTGATTATATTCTAACTCTTTCCAATTTTTTGCTAATTCTATTAGAAAATAATGTTCGTCTACCCACCGTTCTGCAATTTACCCTAAACAAATTTCTAATTCTCTTTCACCACCGTTCTACAATTTTTTTTCCCCTCTCGAAACTCCTCCCTTGTGTCGATTGTTCTGAATTAGCAGCAGAGGTAATCCTCCTCATTCATTTTTTTTTTTTTTTTTTTTTTTTCATTTTTTTATTTACTTCTTGTGGTTTAGCAGTTACTGTTTAAAGTTCAGTTTGTTTGTGCTTAAAAATCGATTTTGTTATCTATTTTGAATATAATATGAGTTATAAGATATGTGATTTTAGATTTTATATTATTGTATAATGTTCTGAAATTTGTTTTTGTTTTTGTTTTGTTTTGTATAATGTTTAGAAATTTATTATTGATTTTTTTAACGAGAGTACAAGTGCTCAGACGAGGTACTTTTTCTTCGAATTTATTTTTAATACCCCTAAATCAAACTAAATCAGTTTGTCTTTAAAATTGGATTCTTTTATCAATTTTGAATACTTATTAGATGTGTGATCTTAGATTTCATATTATTGTATAATGTTCTGTAATTTGGGGTATTTATTTATTTATTATTATTTTGTATGGTGTTCTAAAATTTATTATTTTTATTTTGACCGAAAGGGAAAACTATCAAACGCTCTCAATTAGCAGCAGAGGTACTCCTTCTCAATTTTTTATTTTACTTCTTATGCTTTATTTTAGCAGTTTGTTTGTCCTTAAAAAATGATTCTAGTCTCAATTTGGGTTATAAGATATGTGATCTTAGATTTCATATTATTGTATAATGTTTTGAAATTTGTGTGTGTGTGTGTGTTTTTTTGGTATAATGTTCTGAAATTTATTATTAACGCAGTACATTGCCCTATTAATATACTTCAGAATGTTAATAAGAAATACGGTCCTTATAGAACAGAATCCCAGCAATAAATACCAGTTGGGGTTGGCTGCATGAATCCTATGTTCCCTTTCTGCTCTATTTAAAGCCATAGCCTCAAGTAGGAGGTAATGATTCTAAGTTTAAAACTTGATTTTTGTACAGCTTGTCATGAGTTGTGACTTTATTTATGGTTTATTAAAATGAAATGTAGCTACCTTAATTTGAAGTTATCAAAAGCCTCCAACACAGAAAACGTATCATTAATGTCATCCAAGACTCATAATTTGTGGAGAACCTTTTCCACGATTCTTCAATAAGATAGTGACGATGGTTCCTTATAGGTACAGCTAGCTTAACCGTACATTTGTTTCATAAAGCTTGGGATACATTTTAAGTCTACTTTGTAATGTAGAGAAATTCCAAAGATTGTTTTGCCGTCTAGCCGTACTTGTCATGCAGCGCTAATTTGTACCCTGAAGTTTGAAATACTTGTTCTATTAGTATAGACATCCAATTGTTTGGAATTTCTTTTCTCCTTTTTGTGTTAGGGTTCTTTCTCTGGTTGACATCTACTAATTGTTGATATTATATTTTATATTACATACAAAGTTTTCCTGTTTTGTGTGTGTGTATGCATATGTATTTGTATGTACATAATTTTAACTCTTGTGTTGAAATTGTTAGTGTTTATGATACCTGATTTTTTTTTTTTTTTTTTTTTTTCCGCATAGTTGGTACTCACACACACACACGTCTCTACATGAGAATTGAACCCTTGACCTCCCTTTGGGAGGTAAGAGGCTGATACCGCTAGGCCACTGGCCCGTTGGTATGATACCTGATTTTTTAAAATAAAAAGAATACTCACTTGTTCTTTTCCAAAATTCTTCAAAAAGATTGTGATGGCGGTGTAGCTTTTGAGGGACGCATTCCCCTTTTGAAAGTTTTTTAAAACTTATAGGTACGACTAACTTATAAATGCAGTTGCTTCATAAAGATTGGGATACATTTTAATTGTACTTTGTAATGATAATTCTATTCCAAAATTGTTTTGCTGTCTAGCCACACTCCTAATGCTGTTTTATTAGTATAGACCTCTAGTGGTTTTGAATTTCTTTTCTCCTTTTTGTGTTAGGGTTCTTGCTTTGGTTGACATCTAATTGTTGATTTTATATTTCATTTTACATACAACGTTTTCCTGTTGTGTGTGTGTGGGTATACAATGTATTTGTATGTACATAATTTTAAGTCTCATCTTGAATTTGTTAGTGTTTACGATGCCTGTTTTTCCAAATAAAAAGAATACTCACTTGTTGCAGGGCATGCAAATGTCTTCATTACTTTGCTATCACAGGGAAAAATGCAATTTTCGTGTAGCAGATCTACCTGTTGATAATGTTAAAAATCCTCATTTTCTTGTTCTAATTTCAGAGAATTTCATCGGGGCTCGTGCTGTTTTAAGCCTGCCTCGAGTTACAAGTTTGGCATAAAATCGAAGTCCTGTAAAGATGGTTATAGCTTCAGTTCCTCCTGCTTCAGCGCCACCTTCAACTTCTATACCATCAGGTTGTTTGCATGTCGAACTCAATTTTTTCCACCTTTTTCACCCATCCCCCTTACAAGTAATCTGCTTTGGCTCCATCGTGCAGTGTGGTTTACTAAGTTACTTAATCTATTAGGTTCTTTTGCCTTTTCTAAATCTTTTTATAACTCGAACCAATACTGAACTGGATCTGCGTGCAAGGAAAAAAGAGGACAAAAAATGGCCTTATCAAACATTATAATTCTTTCAACCCCTTAAATTCTGTACTTGGATTTTCTATCTATTTATCTATCCAGCCTCAAATCGTTTTTGTTGTTATTTTTGTATTCAACTTTTACATCCAGAGAACTAATATTTTTGAAGTTCCACTTCCAAAATGCATGCATATTGAATAGCATTCACTAATGCTATGTTCGGTAGGAGGGAAGGAAGGGGTGTGGATAGAAAATAGGAAGGAAAGAACAAACTTCCTTTGTTCGGTAGAGTTGATGCAAGGAAAGAAATGCATTCACTAATGCCATGTTCCTATGTTCTTTTTATATATCTAAGAAGATTGTACCCTTCCTTTTATCAAATTAACACACTTGATAATTTCTTTCACTTTTTTAGTCTTCATTTTGGAATCAAAATTTGTGTGCATATTTCTGGCACCCCTGGGTTGTACACACAAATTTCGAGATCGAAAATAAGGATCCAAAGTGTGAAACAAGTACAATCCCTTGAAAATATTCTTTACATAAAGACCAAATCATCTGATTCAATCTCCTTCACGTGTTCAAGTCTAATGGTTATACGAGCTTGATCTTGAATTATGTTGTCAAGACTTTCTTCAAATCATCAAGGTTGCAGAAGACTTTCGTTGGAGGGCCAATGAAGCTTGTTCTTGAATGGTGGATTAACGATCCTTTGAAATTGTTGAATCGTTGAAGAAGACTAAAACTAATTTTATGTGCTTCTTGTTCAGCTTCGAGATATTGGGAAGTAAAAAACTGGGCAAAGTTTCAGCAGTCTCTTGGTCATTTCTTGTTCGATCCTTCCTTCACCCATGAGCCTTTATTTATAGACCCAATGGAGGGGTACAGTTCCAAATTATAAGATTTCTATTGATTTGAAGAAGCTCTAAGATTTTGTTATGTGTCACTTTTGATAATTATCATTATTGATATATTTTATTTGTGATACTTGATTAATCTATTTAGCTGACACATATTCAATTGGGTCAAGCCCAAATTGAGCTTTGAATTGTTCAGAAACAATCAAGGGAAATTCTCAACTTCTTTGATTGATGTAATGTTGATTAAATGACCATAAAATTGTAATGTCTATGTTGGTGGAATAGTTACATTTTCTTTTTAGTAAATGGATTGTGATGTTGAGGACTTATCAAAAAAAAAAAAAGGATTGTGATGTTGAGGACCAAATTTAATTTCAGGTCGCGTTGTGACCCATTTTCGACCCGACAACCTGTTTTGACCCATTTTTGCTTGCAGGTCATGGACCCTGTTTAGTACTCTCTTGAGGATCAATATATAAGGGTGTTTAGGGTTTAGAGTGGGATATTGATAGATGCTGGAAAGCGCAGAAAAGAGAGTGAGAGTGAGAGCTAGGGTTTGAGGGCTGAAACTTGTAGTCGTTTTTTTTTTTTTTTCTTTTCGGCATAGTGAAAAGTGAACTTTTGCAGGATCTTCTTGGTACCGTGGGCGTAGGCTTTGTTGAACTAGGTAAATCTTTGTGTCTTGAGTGGTGCTTTTTTTGTTGTGTTTCGTGATTTGTTCTTGGGTTCGCTGCGTTTCTCGTAAGATGGATCTACCTTGAACCGGCAACCAGTTTCAATTGCTGATGACTGGATAATTTTTTTCCCTTAATAATTTGATTACCAGAATGCTTGCATGATCCTTTTCTTTTCAGTAAATGAATCTGTCATGAACCAGCAACCAATTCTAGTTGGAAACGTTCCCCCTGCGACTGTAAAAGTTGTAAGTGTCATACATTCTCTGTTTCTAATTTACTTTGATTAATGTAGAAAAATAAGGTTGTTCGTATTGTAGTTTCTATAACTTTTAGGGTTGTGGGATAGGTCATGATTTCATAAAATATTTGTTCAAGAGCCAAACTCCGTGACTCCCATGGTATCTGGACCTCCTTTTCCACATATTTCTTCTGATCCTCGTGTAACTTCTCAAGGAGTCCCAAGCTTGCAAACTTCTTCACCAGTGTCTGCTTCTCAGGAGATGATCTCAAATAACGACAATGTGCAAGATCTAAAACCTATGGTTAGAGGTATTTCACAGCCCTTGTGTCCCGTAAGACCTGCTGCAGCAAACGGCAGCATTCTAAACAATCTCTCTCAAGCACGAGAAATGATGAACTCTACAGCCCTAAGTGGGGGGACTTCTATTGGGCTTCAGCCGATTGGTGGAAATTTTATGGCCATGCATATGCCAAACATGATATCCAGTGGCATGGTATCGTCTGTGCCTGCCGCTCAAACTGTATTATCATCTGGGCAATCAGTTATGACATCAGTTGGTGGGTCAGGAATGCTAGCAGGGACTGCACAGGTCGCACAAGCTTCTGGTTCATTCACTTCCGCAACTTCTAATATGTCTGGGAATTCAAACTTTGGAGTGTCAGAACCAGTGGGTAATCTTCAAGTATGTGTTAGTATGGGTCAGTCAGTAACTGGCATGAGCCAAGGAAATATCGTATCAGCCCAGATGGTACAGATTGGAAATGGCGTGAACCAGAACATGATGAGTGGCCTTGGTCCATCTGGTATGTCTTCTGGAACTGGCACCATGATTCCTACTCCTGGAGAGACTCAACAATTTCAGCAAGTAATGCAATCTCTTGGTGTGAATAATAACTCTGCAGCTAACATGCCCATGTCCCAACAGACATCAAGTTCATTGCAGTCAGCAAAATCGAAATATGTAAAAGTTAGGGAGGTAAGACCAACATAACTGTAAGAAGGATTGAAGTTGAATCTGCAAATTGCAGATTCCAGTACATAAGACACTTTTAAATGCAAAACATTGTCACTTTCCAAGAATAATAAGCAGTTGTTGATTTTTGGAACTTTTTCTTTTAATTGTGCCTTAGATTTGTAATTTTGTTAGTGTTTAGGTGTATTTGAATTAATGTTTTAAATTTAGGAATAATTACATTGTGACGCAGATATGTTCCTGACTTGCCGCATTTTTGCTGAAATTTTGTTCTAGGAGCAAGATAATTTATTTACACAAGAAGAAGTTTTTCTTTTCCCAACCACTTGGGGTTGGCTACATGAATCCTATGTTTCCATTCCACTCTATCTAAGATCATAGCATCAGTCAAACCACATGCTATCATATCCTTCTTTACTAACTCTACCCACATTAACTTTGGCCTTTCCAGTCTTACCGCAAATCCATCTCAACTTTCACATTTCCGCTACACTCACTTTAGGCAAATCTTGTTTTCTAGCCGCCCAACATTCGGTACCATAATGTATGGCTGGTTTAGTAGCTGTTCTATAGATCTCCCCTAAGGGGATACTCCTTCACACAATATCCTTGACGCACTCCTCCATTTAACCCATCCTCCTTCACACAATATGGACTCAGGCTATGATGCACTTTTCTGACTTTATTAATGGTCATCAGCTTATTGATCTTCCTCTCTTGAGGGAGCTTTTTTCACTTGGTCCAGTGGAAGTGAAGCACCAACTCTCTCTCGCCTTGATAGATTTTTGATTTCCGGTGACTGGGAAGAGAAGTTCCCGGAAGTTGTTCAGGCTGTGTTGGCTAGGGTGACTTCGGATCACATTCCTTTGGTTCTGGATTGTGGAGGGTTGAGATCTCGTTGCACTCCTTTCAGATTTGAGAATATGTGGCTTCGTGTGGATAACTTCCAGGGACTTGTGCGTTCGTGGTGGGAGGAGAACCTGGTGGTGGGTACGTCGAGTTTTATTTTTGCAGGAAAGCTTCATATTCTGAAAAATAATCTTAAAAGGTGGAATAAGGAGGTTTTTGGGAGCTTGGAGTGGAGAAAGAATAGGGCTTTGGCTGATATTGCCGAGATCGATAGACTAGAAGGGGAGGTGTTCTTTCTGAATCCTAACGCAGTAGGAGAGCAGCTTGTCAGGCAGAATATGTGGAGATTGCAGTTTTGGAGGAAATTTCGTGGCGTCAGAAATCTCGGGCCTTATGGCTCAAAGAGGGAGACCGGAATACCAAGTTTTTTCATAGAACCGCTAATGCTCATAGGAGGAATAATCACATTGGGCGGATGTGTGTGGATGATGCGGTTTTGACTACGGAGGAGGAGGTGCGTAGTGGTATTGTCTCTTTTTACCAAAAGCTCTATTCTGAGCCTCTTCGATGGAGGCCACGTCTTGATGATCTTCACTTTGATTCTATTTCTACATTGGAAAGAGATGGGTTGGAAATCCATTTTCGGAGGAGGAGGTGCTGAAGGCCCTTAAGAGCTGTAATGGTGATAAAGCTCCAAGCCCGGACGACTTTACTATGAGATTTCTGTTGGAGAGCTGGGAGGTGGTCCGGTACGAGGTGATGGGCACTTTTTATGAATTTCATTCCACGGGGCGGTTTGAGAAATCACTGAACGCATCTTTTATTGCTCTTATTTCTAAGAAGGGTGGTGCTTCTCACATTAAGGATTATCGACCAATCAGTTTGATTGGATGCATTTACAAGCTCATCGTAAAAGTCCTTGTATTCCGTTTGAGGGAGGTCTTGGATGGAGTTATCTCTGAGTCTCAGAATGCTTTCATTGGGGGTTAGACAGATCCTGGATTCCGCTCTTATTGCTAGTGAATGTGTGGATTCTCGATTGTGTAGTGGGGCTCCTGGGGTTCTATGTAAGCTGGATATCGAGAAAGCTTATGATCATGTCTGCTGGAATTTCCTGTTCTATATGTTGGAGAGGATGGGCTTTGGTGAGAGATGGAGGAAATGGATTGTTTCATGTGTTTCCACTGTCAGGTTTTCGGTGTTGGTGAATGGGTCCCCTGCGGGGTTTTTCGGCAGCACTCACGGTCTGAGGTAGGGGGACCCTCTCTCCCCGTTCCTTTTTATTATTGTTATGGAGGCTCTTAGCAGGTTGATGAGAAGGGCGGTGGATTTGGGTTTTATCAGGGGTTTCAAGATCGGTCCCGACTCCGTTCAGCAAATGGAGATTTCTCACTTGCTTTTTGCGAATGACACTATTGTTTTTTGTGAGGCAGAGGTGTCCCAGTTGAGGTATCTGAGATGTGTCTTAGTTTGCTTTCAGGCTGTCTCTGGTTTGAAAGTCAATGTGGGCAAGAGTGTGCTTGTCCCTGTGGGGGAGGCTCAGGAGGTGGACACTCTGGCTGCTGCTTTAGGGTGTGGGACACAACGTTTCCCTATCTCGTATTTGGGTTTGCCGCTGGGGGACTCGGCCAGGGTGGTGGGAAGTTGGGACCCGGTGATTGAGAGGGTCGAAAGAAGATTAGCTGGTTGGAAAAAGCAATATCTCTCCAAGGGTGGTAAAGTTACGTTAGTGAAATGCGTCTTGTCAAGCCTTCCAACGTATTTTCTTTCGCTCTTTCAGGTTCCAGCCTCGGTTGTTGGCCGTCTTGAGATGTTACAACGAAACTTCCTTTGGGGGGGTCGTGGAGAGGAGTTTAAGTATCATCTTGTCAGATGGGAGTAGGTTCGCAGGCCTTTTCAGTTGGGCGGGCTTGGGATTAGGAGATTGGCCCCCTTTAACAGTGCTTTCCTCGGTAAGTGGCTTTGGAGATTCGGCAGTGAAAGGCATAGATTATGGAGAAGGGTTATTTCCTGTTGCTTTGGGGAGGAGAGAGGGGGGTGGTCAGCTAGGCCAGTCAGGTCTGTTAGTGGAGTAGGGGTGTGGAGGGCCATTAGAAAAGGATGGGACGAGTTTTCCAAACATGTTAGATTCAAAGTTCGGGATGGAAGGTTTGTCCGGTTTTGGGAGGATCCCTGGTGCGCGGATAGGCCTCTGGCTCTTCTGTTTCCAAGGCTGTTCAGGATTGCTGTTGACAAACATGCTATGGTTGCTAACTGCTATCGCCTTGATAGCGGGAGGTTATCTTAGGATGTGCGATTCCGGCGATCTTTTCAAGATTGGGAGTTGGATGATGTCACTGGCTTGTTGGTTCTCTTGTACAGACAGGAGGTGGAGGGCACTGGTGTTGACTCCCTGTTTTGGGTGCCCTCTTCTCAGGGGATGTTCCAGGTCCGGTCTTTTTTTGTGTGCCTTTCTGGTTTTCATGGCGCTTCCTTCCCGTGGAAGACGGTGTGGTTATCCAAGGCGCCTCTTAGGGTGGCCTTTTTCGTGTGGACTGCAGCTTGGAGCAAGATTTTGACTTTGGATAACTTGAGGAAGCGAAGACATATTATTGTTAATCGGTGTTGTCTTTCTAAGTTGAATGGGGAGTCAGTGGATCACCTGTTGCTGCATTGTCCTGTGGCTCATGATTGTTGGAGTCTCATTTTTGATTTGTTTGGTATTCATTGGGTTATGTCTCGGACATCTCGGAAATTGCTGGATATTTGGAGGGGCCAATCTGGAGGGTAACCCCCTTTTGTGTTTGGTGGAGCATTTGGAAAGAGCAGAATAGAAGATCTTTTGATGGGAAGGAGTCCTCCATTGGGGTGTTGAAATTCTCTATTATTTGTACTCTTTTTTGTTGGGGTTGGGGGAGAGATTTTTCCTCCATTGAGGATATTGTGGACTTTTTGGGCTCCTTGAGATCATAGTTTCAGTTTTTTGTATAGCTTGGGACACATTCCCCTTTTGAACGCCTTCTAATACATTTTATTTATCAAAAAAAAAAAAAAAAAATGTAATCTCTAATTTCTCCTTCATTATGAATAATTGAACCTAAATAACAAAAAAATCACTTTTTTGTACCTCTTGATTCTCAATCCTCATTTGTATTTCTAGATATACTACAGTTACACTCCATGTATTCAGTTTTATTTCTAATTATCGTAACCCCTTTTAATACTAAAGCTTCTCTCCGAACCTCCAATTTGGCATTAACTCCTCTAGTCTCATCAACTAAAACAATATCATCGGCAAACAGCATACCCCATGGAATCTCATCAGCAAGATAATTTATACGAGAGATATATTTGTCTTTTTTGGCAAATTATTGAGAGGATGATGGAGATGATGTTATTAGACATAGGATGATGGAATTCCTAGGTGATTGGTTTGGTGTGGGATACCAAGGTTGCCTTAAGGGAGAGGGAGGGAGAAATATATATGTGTGTGTTTAGAGAGAGAGAGAGAGAGAGAGAGAGAGAGAGTTTGAAGAATTCCATGACTACTAGTGTCCTCTCTCCCTTTTGATGGTGTTCCGAAAGTTCTTTCTTGCAGGAATATTTTAGGGCCCATCCCCTTAAGAAGGTGCCAGTTCACGATGGACACTACACATCCATAATTATGAAATAAATTTCACTATTTCGAACTGTTGGCCCACACGTGTTATATACTCCAAGGAAGTGACTTGTGGAGTATAAACATATCTTGAAAGGGACCTTGTCCTACCATATTAGAAAGAAGATGAACTCACCTCGAGATTTCAACATTTCCTTTTTCTTTTAGAAATTCGAACATTGTACGTGTGGTCATCACAAACCAAGTATGCAATGAACAATTTCTAATATAGGGCAAGAATATAATTATAGTAGCAGAAATATAGTAAGAGTATTGTAGAGGTGTATTTAATGTAATAATCTTTAGCGTCATCTTTGTTGTTATGCAATTCCTAGTATAGAAATTAGAAAATTAATTAAATTAATGTAATTAGTATATATAATTGATGTATACAATCAAAAGTAAATATTTATTATTGTCATATGATCATATCCATGTAGTGCTCATATACTATTTGGTCTTTATGATTTGCGTAATCGGTCTATCTGTGTCATATGGTGTTTGTGTCACGTGTCAATGTTTTCTTAGTCCACTATTTATATGACGTATGGAAGTGTAAAACACAGCATGTAATGAGTATGGCACATGTCTGAGCAACGTGGCTAAAATAAGGTGTTGTCTAGTGTAATAAAATGGACTGCCAAGCACAACATTTGATGAGTGCGTCTCAGATGACACTTTCTTCTTTTGCAAAACACCTTTTTATTTGCTCTAGTTGCATTTTTTCTACTGTTTCTTTATATGATAAGAATCAGATACTGATAGTCACCCCTTCCATTTGTGCACCACTATGCTACAACAGTTTTGGCCATTTTTATTGAGTGAAAATTGCCAAAACACAACCCTCCATTCACTCATACAAGTGAGATGCTATTAGAATTTGTGTTCCACCAAATTTCTTCGTTCTGTCTTGTCAAAAGGGGTCTACAACCTTTTTCCTACTAATGTCCCTGTTAAAGTAAGAAAGTACGAAATAAACTAATTAACAATTCACCAAAAGGGAACATACGAAAAAGTTTTGTTGCCAGCTGCAAACCTGTTTCTTAGTGATTGTCATCGGAGGTCTTTTTTCATAGGCTACAAGCTAATGGCTTGGGGGGAACAAAACCATTTACAAACAACAGTATATGTCTCCCAATGGAATAGTTTCCCTGGACTTGTTCAATTCTGCAGAATTGTTTACGATAATTTAACATCACAATTGCTTATGATAATAATTGAGTTCCTGCAAATGCCCACTCTAATTTCTATATTAAAAACGATAAATATTTTTTAAATGCCTGCAAAAAATGTGTACTCTATCAAGTATCTGTTTATTTGTTGTACATTATTTATTTATGCCATCACTTATAGTTTCTTGAATGATCTAAATGATGCAGGGAAACTTATCTGGGCAGAGACAAGGTCAGTATGTCACCAGACTGGAGGTATGTTTTCACATAGTTGATAAAGGATTTTATTTGTGTTATATGAGGCTTATTGTTATCGCATTTCACATGTAATTTAATTATTTATTTTATTATAATGATTATAATCTTACGCTGCGACTTCAATGTGTCCCATTGTCACATTGATGTAATTTAGTCTTTTTCCATCTCTTACGTAAAATTTCTAATACTTCTCATTTCACAATTCTGATGTTTTACTGACTTGTTGCAGGGTTACAGGAGTGTGCTGGCTTCTGAAACGTAAGTCTAGGGAGTGTCACTAACATTTGAGAATTTGCTTCAATTTATCTTTCTTATCAATAGTACTTGAGTTTTCAAAATGTAATCATCTTTATTCTTTTAAGTGAATAAAAAGGTGCAAATTACTCCTTTTACTTGTGATTAATTAGAGGACCTGAGGCTCAGTTTCAGTATTATAACCATGGCAGAGAATTGGTTCAGCGGTAGGTTTTGTGAATGTGTCACCACTCTTAAGAGTTGTGGTTTCTTTAATGATGGTATTATTATTATTTGCAATTTAAGAAATGGTTTGGGGTGACTTTCCTATTAAAAGTGTACGAGATAACATCAATTTGTTTCTCTAGGCTATGATGCTTGTTCCTTTGAAAAACTGTCAAAGAATTATTTAAGAGACTAGTCACTGAAATACTGTTTTGATGAGATGTTATGTTGTTTTTCTCAATTCTAGAAAGTACTCTTCAAATCCTGAAATTTGAGTTGTTTGCCGCTTCCCTACTGTCCATATAGTACCTCAAAAATTTTCCTATTATTTCTTAATCTTAGTGCACTCGGAATGCAGTTTTGCTGAGAATCATATTTGTAACGTATACAAAACAATTCATCTTGTCAAAATCTCCTATTATTTGCAAGTTAATTATGCCTTAAAAACGTTTTTCCTGATATTTCTTAAAATGCAGTTAAAATGGATGACCTAGTCTGAAGCCGATCCTGGGACTAGTTTTTAAAACTTTTGAGTCTCTGGTTGATGGTGACTTTTCTTGTTCTAATTAATGTGTTTCTTGTTCCTTTTTTGAAATGAATCTTCCAGTTGTATGAGTTCTTTTCTTTTTTTTTTTTTTCCACTCAGGCTTACAGTAAATTGGCCACCGTCAATGCTGATTGTTCGGCTTTTATCTCAGGACCACATGAATAAGTAATTTCTGCCTAGTGGAACAATTCGTTTTGTATAATAATATGCTCATCATTAATTATACGTCTCTTCTGAATTTGACGTCTCTTTCAAAATTTTCATATTTCCTAGATTCAAAGGCAGGCAGTATGTTGGGAAGGTAGATTTTCTAGTTTTTCGGGCATTGAATCAACATGGTTTTCTTGGACAGCTGCAAGAAAGGAAGCTTGTAAGTAATCTGAAGGCTTTGCTTATATTTTTTTAGATAGTCGAAGGTTGCATCATGCAGGGGACTGGTAACTTTATTTATTTATTTTTTATTATGCGGAGCACATGAATTAATTTTTGGACTCATAACTTCTTGTTTATGAAGATTTGACCTTATGTCTTGAGACTCTTACAGCGATGATCTTGCTTGTAAAGATAGTTTCCTAGTTCTTCGAAGTACTTGTTGAATTCATAATGCTTTAACGAGCCTTGACAACCAGTAGGGAATAATAATCTGTTAAAAAATGTGCTTTTCAATTTGATCGAATGCATTGTTATTCTTAGTTAATATCAATGACTTGAGAATTTTTTTATTGATAAGTATATCAATGACTTGAGTATAAAAATGCTATGATCGAAATATAATCCCTTTATTACAACTTAAGCTTGTATATTAGATGGTTATCCAGATTGGCCATAAGTGCTTCCATGATTATTTTTATTATTATTATTTTTTTTAGGAAAAAAAAATTGTAATTACTTGTTGCACTTCTTTTCAGTCTTTCAGAAAAACTGTCTAGTTGTTTTGATTGATGGACTTCTAAGAAGCATGGATTTGGACGCAAGATACATACACGATATGAAACTAATACATTAATATAGAAAATCTTAAGAAGGTTGGACACTATTGCGGCAAGGACACGGAAATAGAACATTTTATGTAAAGAACCAAATTACATATATGATAATGCTATTTCATAATAAGTAGTCATATAACATGAAATTTTAACTAAAAAGATCATATAATAATTATAATGATCCTTATTGCATAGGGATACATAATAAGGGCGTAGTACATATCCACATGCTTGTTTTAATGTATCTATCTATCTAGTTGGGGTGGCAAAATGGGTGTTGACCCGCAAACCCATCCAGTTAAAAATGGATTTGGGGGATTTTTTATTTTTATTTTTTATTGTTTTTGTGTGGGTCAAAAACGGGTGGATTAAAATAAACCACTTAATTTACGGATTAGTTGGTGTTGGAGAATAATTATAGGAGTGATTTAAGCCCTTAAATCACTCATTGACAGAATTTTAATGTTGCTATACTTGGGCAACAAGTTGTTGCCATATTTATATTTGACTTTCTGTGTAATCCTCTTATTACAAGTCTTCCCCAATTCACCTATAAATAGATGCGGTTATTGTAAACAAAATTAAGAGAGAATGTAATGAAAGAGATGTAGCCCTCTGGGCTCTTTGTGTCGTGAATGTAAGCCCTAGTGGTTGAACCACGTTATATTTTGTGTTCTTCATGTTCTAATTTCTCTCTTCAACTTTTATTTTTCTTTCAACATGGTATCAGAGCAGGTTTATCATACCCTACTCTATACTCTACTCTTTTCTGATTTTCAGATCAACTTGTCTCGGATCTTCGGATCAACTCGTCTCGGATCAGATCTTCGAATCAATTTGTCTCGGATCTCCGGATCAACTTATCTTTACTTGTCTCAGACTCTCGACAACTTCATATTTAATTTCAAGTTGGACACTTAAGTTAAATCTCCGTGTACCAATTTGAGGGGGGGTGTTGGAGAATAATTGTATAAGTGATTTAAGCCCTTAAATCACTCCTTGACGGAATGCTAATGTTGCTATACTTGGGCAACAAGTTGTTATCATATTTGTATTTGACTTTGTGTGTAATTCCTTTATTATAACAAGTCTTCCCCAGTTCACCTATAAATAGAGGGGGTTATTGTAAACAAAATAAAGAGAGAATGTAATGAAAGAGATGTAGCCCTTTGGGCTTTGTGTGTCGTGGATGTAAGCCCTAGTGGCTGAACCACTTATATCCTTGTGTTCTTCATGTTTTAATTTCTCTCTTCAACTTTTTATTTTTTCTTTCAACACATACCTTTATACATATGTGTGTGTGTGTGTGTGTGTAGAGAGAGAAGAGATGTATAGTATGATGATCACGATGGGAAGGTAACCTCTAGATCGGTACAAACATATCCATTGCCTTGGACGAGCTGTACCATTCCAATAACACTAGGCAACAATTGAACGATGAGCTCCCCGATCTAGAGACCTTACTACACATCCTACACCCTTAATGTTGAGTCCAGAAGAGAGGGGCAGATCAGAGAGAGAGAGAGAGAGAGAGAGGCTGGTTGAAGAGAACGAGGTGGAATAAAATAGAGGCGGAATCGACAAGTTGTAGATCGAAGAAAGAGCGGCAGGGGTGCTTATTGATGCTCTGGTTCCCTTTTACTCCCTTTACAAGTGAATATGGGTCGAATATGAGTACCCATATTCAACCTAACTGTTGAAAGAAAAATAAAAGTTGAAGAGAAAAATTAAAACATGAGGAACACAAAATATAACGTGGTTAAGCACTAGAGCTTACATCCACGACACAAAGACCCCAGAGGGCTACATCTCTTTCATTACATTATCTTTTAAATTTGTTAACAATAAGCAACTCTATTTATAGGTGAATTGGAGAGGACTTGTAATAAGAGGATTACACAGAAAGTCAAATATAAATATGGCAACAACTTGTTTCCCATATAACAAAATTAACATTCTGTCAATGAGTGATTTAAGGGCTTAAATCACTCCTATAATTATTCTCTAACATTCCCCCTTAAGTTGATACGCGGAGATTTAATTCAAGTGTCCAACTTTAAATTAAATATGAAGTTGTTGAGAGTCTGAGATGAGTAAATCTAAGATGAGTTGATTTGGAGATCCGAGGCGAGTAGAGTATAGAGTAGGGTAAGATAAACCTGCTCTGATACCATGTTGAAAGAAAAAATAAAAAAGTTGAAGAGAGAAATTAAAACATGAAGAACATAAGGCTATACTTGGTTCAGCCACTAGGATTTACATCCACGACACACAAAGCCCAATGGGCTACATCTTTTTCATTACATTCTCTCTTAATTTTGTTTACAATAACCACCTTTATTTATAGGTGAATTGGGGAAGACTTGTAGCTATAATAAAGGAATTACACTGAAAGTCAAATACAAATATGGCAACAATTTGTTACCCAAGTATGGGCCCGTTTGGCATAACTTTTGCTTCTGCGTGTAGGCAGTAGAAGAAGAGAAGCGGAAGCAATAGCTTCTATTTAGCTTATTTGTCAGTGTTTGGAAATTGTGTTTTAAAAGAGCTTTTAATGTCAAAAGAATTTTTGTGTGTTTGGAAAAACATTTGGTGAATTTCTTTTACTATGAAAATTACTATTATACCCTTACATGAAGTACTTGTTTTGGCTTATTTGACAGCATAAATTGGATTTGTAAATTCTATGAACACCTTGATGCTCAGGAATAACCACAATGCTAATAAAGGACGAAGCCCCACCGAATTAATCTTAATATTTTGGGTTAAATTTTTTAAAGTTTTTCATTCACAAATCAAGCAAGAACAAACTTTACACAAATGATTTCAAGTGAGTTAGGGAAAAAATTAAAGAAAAGAGCCTAGAAAAATGAAGTATCACCTGAAATTTTGTGGGACAAATTGACATAGGGTTGAGAATTACAGATCTGGATGGTTTGAGTATTTTTTGGGAGAGCGAGAGTCAGAGTTGGGTTGCTATTGTCAAAAGGTGAGAAGTCCATGATTGAAATTAGGGTTTTGAGAGGGAAGTAGACAACCATATTGAAGCTTGATTTTGCGAGGAGGGCAAGATGGACATCAAAATTTTGCCAACGGACTGAGATGATATTTAGAGGTGATCTTGAGCGTGAGGTTTCTCAGTTTTTTCTGTCGCCATAGGGCTTGGGAAGAAGAACATCGTGTCTTTTATAGGGACACAGTTGATATTTTATTTTTTTGTTGAGTAATAAAAAGGGTATAGTTGGTATTTAGAAAGTTTCATTAAAATATAACATCAGCTTCGCGTGTTATTAAAAAGAGCATTTTAGGCAAGCTGGGAGGTACCGGCTTCTCCAAAACGCTCTTCTAAGATCCAAAAGCTCTTCTAAAAAATTAGCCAAACACTACTAAAAATAGCTTTTAAACCCAAAAAGCCTAAAGCAACGTTTCAAAAGCCAATCGAAACAGGCCCTATAGCAACATTAACATTCTGTCAAGCAGTGATTTAAGGGCTTAAATCTCTCCTATAATTATTCTCCAACAGTATGTAATATGTTGGTATGTTCTTTTACTTGGATTCTTTTATGTTTTTTTAAGATTTGAAAGATGGATGGATTTGCTGCGATTCAAATGGCTATTTGCTAGGATGTGGAAAATTGTGCAGATAACTTCAAAGATTTTCTATGAAATCTATTGGGTTGAATAAGGTATTGATGATTGTAATTGACACAATTATTGGGATGATTATATCATGTTTGAAAATTAGTATAGCTATGTATTTGACGGTATAATTGGGAATGATTAGATCCTTTGTAAATAGGTAAATATTTATGTCAGTGAAGAGTTTTGGAAACACCCAAGCGAAAGTCGTTTTTTTTTTTTTTTTACTAGAATTATATTCTGGGGGCAATGGGTTGGATCATTTTATTTTTCCTAGTTGATACCCTCCCGGGAATTGTTTGCACTCAGGAGTAATTGAACCTTAGATCTGATGCTTCATGAGGCACCAGGGCCAAGTAACTTACCCACTTGAGCCAACCCCTTGGGATATGGATTGGATCATTTTACTTGGTCAGGTCATTGTAAACAGTTTTGGGCTCATAGGTTCAATTTCTGAATCAACAAGTCTTGGGTTCATAAAAAATGTTTTTATGCCTTTCTTCCTGTTAAATATAAAAGAGAGAATATAGAACTCTATATTGTATTGATGTGTATGAGATATGTAATACAAGAGTACATGGGGGTTTATATAGGAGAGGTCATGTGTGGAGAGCAAGTCATTACCATATAAGGTAATGCTATATATGGTAATGAGGGTAGGTTAAGACAATTACTATTCAAGGTAATGCTATATATAGTAATGATATATTATAGAATATACTCTAACAATAGATTCGGAGGGTTA